CTCCTGTCCTGCCCGTTCTGAGAAGCAAACAGCCTAATTTCAGAGACAGATGGCCTCATTGGTCTATTTTAGCATGGATGATGAAAGCCAAAACAAAACAGAAAATGGCGCTTCATTGCACCTTTCCAGACTAGCAGATTTATTTCAATGAGTGGTTTCGTGAATTACACCTCCTCAGGCACGTTGAACTTGTCAGGACTCTGATGGGAAGCGGGAAGGGTGGAGCGCCATCATGTATTTTACCTCAAGAAGCAAAATGTCTTGAGCTATACTTGATTAGCTCAGAGGTGCTTCTTCTTTTTTCCTCAGCACATCACATGTGTGAGGTGCTGAGGAAAAAGAAAAAGCACTCGAGAGGTACTTGAGAGGTACTTCAAACTTGAATGCATTTTCGCGCCCTCGCCTTGCTTAACGAGGGCGCGAAAACGCTGCGCGCGGCCATTTTGGGCCATTTCCGGGCTTCCGGCGGCCATTTTGGCCACCGAACAGCTGATCGTCGGGCTTCGTTTTGCGAAGATCGGTAAGCGAAACGCTTACCGGTCTTCGCAAAGCGAATTGTGCCCTATAGGAAAAACGTTAAGCGATCGCATTAGCGATCCGAAAAAACGGATCGCTATGCGATTTCATCGTTATGCGGTGCACTCGTTAAGCGAGGCACCACTGTATTTTACCTCAAGAAACAAAATGTCTTGAGTCATACTTGATTAGCTCAGAGGTGCTTCTTTTTCCTCAGCACATCGCATGTGTGAGGTGCTGAGGAAAAAGAAAAAGCACTTGAGAGGTACTTCAAACTTGAGATGTACTGTGGGTTCTCACATGTGTCTGGGGAAATGGATTGTGATTGATCTGCAAAGTCTCACACGGAAATAAATCTGTTCATCTTAAAGGTGCCACAAAACTTTTCTTTTTTGTGTGTGTTCTTATTATACAAATCAAGAAATGTTTACCATATGACAAATGTTCTCTCTTCCTTAGGATGCCGAAAAAGGTCCTTCTGTTCTAAATTTCTCTGTTCCTGCAGAAGATCTGGAGAGAAAATAGCTTTAATACACCTGGCCCAGGTAAAGGAGATCATGTGTTAGCTGGGGAGATAGAAACTATGGTGGGTAATACAAAAGGAGAACAAAATGGAGAAAGAGGTGTTGTGGATTTAGTTTTGTGGCAGCTTTTGAGCGATTAGTTCACATGTGCATGCTTCAGAGACATGGGGCAGAATCCAGTTGCTTACATACACTGGTATAAGTGCAGTGAAGTAACCTCAGCAGGGGATTATGTTGGAGTTTTTACAACCTCACATGTTGCCTAGAGAAGGTGTGGTCGGGAGGGACCTTTCTGGGTGACTGTCAATCTCTCCAGCACTAATGAATTGTTCTCTTTTTTCCTTTTCTTGAGTCTGTTGAGGTCAGTTGCTGAAAGGCAGTCATGCTTGTCAGTTTGATCTGTTTAATTGTAAATACAGTGGTGCCTCGCTTAACAACGATAATCTGTTCCAGGAAAATCGCTATTAAGCGAAAACATCGTAAAGCGAAATTTAAAAACCCATTGAAACGCATTGAATGCGTTCCAGTGGGCTAAAAACTCACGGCGTTCTAGGGGGCTAAAAACTCACCGTCCAGCGAAGATCTTGCATACGGCAGCCATTTTCAGTGCCTGTATAGCGAGGAATCTGTCCCTAAGCACAGCGGGGAGCCATTTTAAGCACCCGGTGGCCATTTTGAAAACCCAACTATCAGCTGTTTTTGATCGTGGTAAAGTGAAAATTGGTTCCCGAAGCAGGGAACCGATCATCACTAAGCGAAATTCCCCCATTTAGATTATCGTTTTGCAATCGCAATTGTGATCACAAAAACATTGTCGTAAAGCGAATTCTTCATAATGCGGGGTAATCGTTAAGCGGGGCACGACTATAATGAAACTTTTTATTCATTCTCCTACTGATGACTCAGAGTGAGTTATTGAAACTGTCAGTGGCAGTTGATGAGAAAAAGGGGTGGACTCTTCTGGAGCTATTCTGCTCTATGAGCTCAGTGAAATAATGTCTTGGAGTATTCTGAAACCAGCTTCTCTGTGTTGCTATTTCTGCTGTCAGATTTGGATCGATTTATTCTCTGACACAGAAACCTAAACAGATTCCAAAGGGAATGTATATTTCTTCCTCTATCACCCATGAAGACAGAAGCATTGGCTGTATAATTTCAGAGTTTTGAAATATTAATGTTTATCCATTTGCTTGTTTAAAATATTTTTACTCTGCCTTTCTCCTCAAAAAGGACCCAAGGCAGCTTACATCATTGAAGCATAAGATTTAAAGCTAGAAACATTGAGTATACCAAGGTAGCTTATCTCAGTAAAAGACAATATTTGAAGCTAAAAATAATGAGTATACAAAGGAGGCTTATATCATTAAAAGACAGCATTTATAGCTAAAAACAATAAATATACAAATATTAAAAAGGAACAAACAAATGCCACTCTGAGTACAGTAAACATTAGCAATACTAAAAATGAAGTAAGAGCAGTGAGTGAGGCATAAAATCATGTTTTATGCAATATATTAAGGAAATGTTATGTAGCTAATTTTTAAATGAAGTTTAAAAATCGGCTAATTAAATTAAAATGAATTGGCTTCTAAATCCAATTAAAATTAGTTTGCCCATTTATAGTTCCACTCCACGCCTCTGTCATCTGCTCAAGCTTTATCAATCAAGCGGCACAGCTGAAGGCACCTTAGGAGCTAAGTTACAGATGGGACGGGAAGTAGGAGGAGTGGGGCACCATCTTGTCCTTTACCTCTGGCAGCAAAATGTCTTGAGCTGCACCTCATGGGCTCTGAAATCTTTCCTCTTCTTCATAGTGCTCCCGGGCCTCTCAGCTTTTGAGAGCTGACATTGGTACTCGTGTTCATGAGCCGTGATCTAAATTAAGACTGGGCAGCTTCTTTCTCTACTGAATGAGATTCCTTTACCTCTGGCAGCAAAATGTCTTGAGCCGCACCTCATGGGCTTCGAAATCTTTCCTCTTCTTCATAGGGTTTCCCAGGCCTCTCAGGTTTTGAGAGCTGATATTGGTACTTATGTTCATGAGCCCTGATCTATGTTCATGAGCCCTGTGTGTGTGTGTGTGTGTGTGTGTTGTTTTTTGTTTCCTTTCAGGAGCCAGTGTCCTTTGAACAGGTGGCTGTGCACTTCACAGAAGGGGAGTGGGCACTCCTGAACCCTCAACAACGAGCCTTGCATAGGGACGTGATGCAGGAGAATTACGAAAATGTGAACTCCCTGGGTAAGAATGGCTCCCTCTGACATTTTAGCATGGGTGCATCTTATCATATTCCGCCGATCTCAGTCTAGCATTATAACATTTCTCTCCTCCTTGTACTGTACCTTCCAGAGGTTTTAGACTACATATTCCATAATTTTCCATTCTGGGAGTTCTACCTGAGAACCAGACATCTGACAGACATCTAAATGTGGCTTGCCTGGAAAACAGGCCTCAATGGGGAAGGCTTTGAGGCTGAACTTGGTCTAGCTCAGTGGTTCTTAACCTTGGGTGACTCAGGTGTTTTGGAACTGCAACTCCCAGAAACCCCAGGCAGCACAGCTGGTGGTAAAGGCTTCTGGGAGTTGCAGTCCAAAAACACCTGAGTAACCCAAGGTTAAGAACCACTGGTCTAGCTGCACCCGAGCTTCCTGTTCCTGTGCTAGCTGGGAGCTTTCTTTCTGAACAGGAAGCTAGGCCGAGCTAGGCCTAGCTTAGCCTCAAAGCCATGTAATTGAGGCCTTTCTCCAGGTGAGCCTCATTTAGGTGTCTGTCTGTCAGGTGAAATTCCACCATAGAAAGGTATTCAGTTTGTAGTGCAAGAAATCAAAAAAAATCCCATCCTTTCTTTTTTTTTTAATGTAGAACGGTTCAGCAAAAATTCAGCATTAAATTACAAGGCTTCTTTCACTCTCTCCGATTTCACTTTTGCACCAGTTCTTTCCATCGCCGCTTCCGATACGAACTGCACCGATGAAGGAGACAAGGGAACCCGCTTGATCCCCTCCTCCCAGGGCTCTCCAGAAGGGAAAGACTGTCACATTCCCAAGAGAGGTAGGATAAACAACAATGTGAATCAGGCTGGCACTATCTCCTTCCGACTGCACAAGTTCCAGACCTCCATGGGATGCACACATCCATTCCTGGACCATGGAGGGCCCCCCCACCTGCGCTGCTTTTGAGACCCTCTTGTTCCCATATACGTGCTGGGCGGCCACATGTTTCTCAGACCTAGTCTAGGTGGAGCTCCTGGGCCCCAGAGTCTTTTCCCCTGTTTTGTCATCTGAAGACAATTAAAACTAGGGGAATTGTACTGATGACATTGTCAGGATTGGATAAAGGATCTGCTGAGATCCCAAGCAAATTTAATAGGCACTTTAGTGTTATCTATAATATAGTAATATCTATAATACCTGAAAAGGGACGTGGTGGCACTGCTGGTTAACCTGCAGAAACCTCTGTGCTGTGAGGTCAGAAGACCAGCAGTCATAAGATCGAATCCATGCAAAGGAGTGAGCTCCCATCGCTTGTCCCAGCTCCTGCCAACCTAGCCGTTCGAAAGCATGTAAATGTGAGTAGATAAATAGGTACCACCTCGGTGGGAAGGTAACAGCGTTCCGTCTCTAAGTCGCACTGGCCATGTGACCACGGAAACTGTCTATGGACAAACACTGGCTCTACGGCTTGGAAATGGGGATGAGCACCACCCCCTAGAGTCGGACACGGCTGGACCTTTACCTGAACCTTTACCTATAGCATTATATTTTTTTTTTTTTAAAAAGGGGTACTGATCTGCAAATTCATTTTCTGTGTTTACAATTGGATTCTGCTAAGCTGCAGCTTAATTAGCTTGTGCATACATCCAGCACTGGGCCTTGGATTAAAAATGTGCAGTCTCCACCCTGAGTTATGGCTGCTCCTCTAAAAGGCAGTCCTGTATCATGACAAAGGAAAAACAATTCATTTGTATCTATGTCGCATATACCAGGGGTAGGCTGTTTTGTGTGGCAGCCTCTGAATTCACAAGCAGCAACTGTTCCCCCACTTCCTTACCACTACCACACCTGAAAATCCAGTCAGGAACTCCTTCCTTAGCAGTGAGAAACCACGATGAGTTACGCCGCTTGCCTTCTTGCATGCGTACCTATCTGGCAGGATTTTGGCCCCTGAAATGGAGCACAGCCCTCTGCATCTTTAGCCAGGAAAAAAAGAATCCTACAGTATTCAGAGGGATTTATTCACCAAGCCATGATTTTAGAATCGGTATTTCATTCACTTTGCTGTCTTCTTCTCCCTTACCTTTACTGTTTCTTATTGTAGCACATGACGACGGGCAGGAGAGCGTAACAGAAATAGAGAAAAATCTGCTGCCAAGAAATTCTAAGGAAAATGGAAGTCAAGAGACCCCCCTGAGGAGGAACGAACAGAGACAGCAACAGGCTCAATCGGGAAGGCAAAGGCCTCACATTCAGCGTAAATCAGAAAGGCAGCAGAAAATTGAGCAAAAGACTAGAGAGGAGAAACACATTTCTTCCCAGGCAGCAGGCCAGGCCCTTGGCAAAGCCATTTTCCAGAAGGAGAGCAGCAAAGACAGAAAACCGAGGGCTTGTCCAAAATGCGGGAAGGTATTTCATCAGAGCGTCCTTCTGCTTAAGCATAAGCGGACCCACACCAGAAAAGAGCCCCACCAGTGTTCGGAGTGTGGGAAGATCTTTAGTGAGCTTTCTCACCTTCGCAAACACCGAAGGACCCACCGGAAAGAGAAACGGTTCGCATGCGTGGACTGTGGGAAGGTTTTCCATCGGAGCTCCCACCTGGCGTCGCACCGAGGGATCCACGCAGGGCTCAAGCCGCATTCGTGCTCTGCCTGCGGGAAAAGCTTCCGTCGGGGGCCGGACCTTAGAAGACACCAGCAAATACACACGGGGGAGAAACTGCACAGATGCTTGGACTGCGGGAGAAGCTTCGGCTTGAGCTCCAGCCTTATTAAACACCAAAGGATCCATACGGGGGAGAAGCCGTACAGATGCACCCACTGTAGGAAAAGCTTCAGTCAGAAATCTCATCTTATTGTCCACAAGAGGACCCATTCGAGGGACAAGCCATTCAAATGTTCTTTCTGCCGTACTGGCTTTACTCAGAAAGCGCACCTCGTCTCCCATCAGAGGACCCACACAGGAGAGAAGCCCTTTAAATGCTCCGACTGCGGGAAAAGCTTCAAACTAAACTCTGCACGCATGAAACATGAGAGAAGCCACGGGGAAGGTTTGGACGCTCAGGCTGTGAGGAAGCTTTCCGTTGGAGCTCCTGCCTCACAAAGCATGGAAAAATCAAAACGGAAATTGAACTATAGGAACGTTCAGAGACAGGGAAATGCTTCAGATTAACTCTTCATTCCCACAAATGTTGCATTTACCTCTTAGAGTTTGGGTTATGTACCTATGAGCTCCTATTTCTCATTACTTGTGAAGCAACTGAGCAGAAACAGTGGTCCAGATTCTGTTGTCTACCATAAACCAAATCCTAATTTTCAGTCTGTTCCTTCCTGGTCCACGAAGCACTGGCACCATGATTTTTGGGGTGCACATGTGCACCCCACCCACCTCAAGCCGGTGTATATGCGTGTACACGGACATACAAATATACACACACATACACAACAAGAATTTCAGCAGGGATGGCTTCTTTATCAAAAAGTATAAGAACAGAAGTTACAATTGGTCTTATGCTAAGAAACAGGATTTCGGCCAGTTGTGCGCTTTCCCTCCTGTCTTCAATTTTACAAGGGCTACTAGAGCTTAATTTTTTAAAAAATAAATAACTGAAGTTTAGAATGTGGATGAGCTACTTTGCTTAATAGGCACTTGGTGATGTATCTAAAATCTGGCCCGCCCAGGATTTATTTATATACAGTATTTGTCTTGGCTATAGGCCACCTTTCTCTTAATAAGGGGACTCATATAGGGTTGCCAGACGCCAGCCAAAAGGAGGACATGTCCTCCTTTTTAGCTTAATGTTCCCCCACCTCACCCCACCGCATCTCCTGCCTGTGGCACATAGGACCTTCTGCCTGAAAGACCACTGTTGCTCGAGATCCTGAGAGGCTTTTCCAGTCAGTGTAAGAGGACGAGGAGGACGTATTGAATGTTTCATTTGAATCATTCCGGATTAAACCCACAACCAATACAATTTTATTACAATAGCTGCCAATAAATGTCTCTTAGTGAACCTATCCAGCAGTTGTTAATAATTTTATTCTGCTTGATAGTGGCATAAATAGCCCCAGAATAGATGGGGTGGTGGATCTGCTGTGTCAAGATTGTAAAGCAGAGGTGGGATAGCCACCTGATAGGGAGGTTTAAATGGTTGATTTCCTGCCTCATGAGGGGTTAGACTAGATGATCCTTGATCCCTTTTCCAATAAATTGAAGCAGGAATTTTAAAAAGAAGTTTGTGAGAAGCATTATGAATGGAGAATGATGGAAGCAGTCAAAAAAAGCGTTAAAGGACAAAGCCTTCAAATGGAGGTGAGGGCCATAGTCCTTTCACTGTTACCAGCCAAACCTGGCTTCTAAGATTCTCTGGCAAGGAATCAGGCATAGATGCAAACAGCTGAACCGAAGGCCCAATTTTATTTGAATAGCAGCAAAGAAAAGGGCAGCTGGGACTTCTCTTAAAGGCAGAGAAGATCCCAAAATATAGTGTACATATCTTTTATATTTATATGATACAAAGAGTCATAAAATGTTACAATCCTATTGGTCACTTGTACCACAACTTGGATCCAGTCCCTCATTGGGCAAATGATGCCAACTACACTAATCTATTGGTCATTTGTGAATATGCATATTGTGTGCCCATGTGCCCTTGGCCTATGCCCACAATGCGCCTGGAAGTCTTGGGACAAGAGTATCTATTTCCCTTATCTATTGGTATATTCATGTGTATCCTTCCTGGGCCCCAATACAGTATATAGCCTTCACTCTCCGCCCCCCCTGGTGTGAATGTCAAGGCTGGTTTCCTCCTGCCTGCATTCCAGGGCCAGGCCGTCTGCCAGATCAAAAGGCGGATGGGCCAAGCGAAAGTGTGACAATGACATTCCATACGGTGTGTGAATGTTCCTCTATTTGCCTGATCTATGTTGTGAATGTTCCTGGGCTTCTTTTCTCTGAGGCCTGTGTTTTCTCCGCTAAGAGTTATACTAAAATCTAGTTTGATTTTGCTCTGGTATCATCACCAGGAGAAAGGTGGCATAAAAATTAATTGATTCATTAAAAATAGCTAGTAAGATTCCATGGTATACTGCTTTTGAACAGAAAACAACCACTGGTAGCTTTTTATCATCTGTGAATTCCACTTATCCCCTTAAAAAACTTGCAAACTTGTCTTGGGGGTTTGTGTATTCTGTGATTTTCCATTTTCTTTAACGCTCTGCCCGAAAACCTCTGCTGACCTCAGAAGCTTGCTCACTCTCTCTCTCTCTCTCTCTCTCTCTCTCTCTCTCTCTCTCTCTCTCTCTGTGTGTGTGTGTGTGTGTGTGTGTGTGTGTGTGTGAGAGAGAGAGAGAGACATTTGTCAGTTGCAATAAAGGCATCATTTAATTGTGTTTTTTATACTTTGGTTTCATTAAACAAGAACAGTCTTCCCCAACCTGGCGGCGATAGTAGGTGTCATTGTTCAAAACATCAGGATGACACCAGGTTGGGGAAGGCTGTATTATGGGATGGAAGGTAAGGGGTTAATGTTTTGATCATCTGGAACAGTGCTAAGGAGATCCTCAGACATCTCTGCTTAGGTGAGGTTTGACTGGTGGTGGTGGTGTGTGTGTGTGTGTCTGCTTCCTGTAATAACCATACTTTTTATAGCTGCTCCTTTCTGTCTCTCAGCTCATAAAGCGTTCTTTATACCTTAGAGGTTAACCTTGAGGGTCCCACTGGATTCTTCATCCTCCCCCCCAAATTTGGCAATCTTCCTGCTTGAGCCTTTTTGTCTTATAAACATGAATATTTTCCTTGCATCCACTACTATTTCTCCTGCATCACCACTCCCAGAATCCTTTGGTTTCCAACCCTCTGGGAATCACCTTTCTCCAGCTAGTCTAACCCTACCACTTCCAGGGTGGGATGACTCCTGCTGGTGCCATTGTCAGCCAGACCATTTCCTAGAAAGGGGCAAGGTGTGGGAGGGGGCGCTCCACTTTTCAACCCCTTCTAAATTCCTGCCCACTCTAGGAATCTCAGGCCGAGCTCTTTATACCTTTAACTCTTTCTTCCCAAGGACTTGTTAGGTGACAAACGGAGCCCTTGTCTGGCTTTTTGCTCCTGTTTTTAGTCTTTCCGACCCCCCACCCACCCACAAATCCTCCCTAAAGTTAAAAAGCTTCTATTTAAATTTCTTTTCCTACCACAATTCCTGGGATCTCCTAATCAATACACCCACAGATCAGGCTGGTGGTCAGTTCCACCTTGTCCCTTTCTCCCCCCCCCCAGCATTTTCCTTCCATAGGGTGGGCAGAATTGCTTACATCTCCAGGTTACGTGAAAGCTACACCGATCCGATTTCTGCCTGCGCAGTAAGAGTCAGAAGGAAAAGTTGGCAACCTTATTGGTCCTCTGCACCAACATCAGTATCTATATGGACCCTTCCCTTCCTCCTCCTCACTGCCACATAAAGTCCAGCCACCTCTGTGTGTGTGTGTGTATGTGTGTGTGTGTGTGTGTGTGTAAATGTAGTTTCCTGCAAGAAACTCTCTAAAAAAAAACCCCAAAATTTTTATCTGTGCCCCCAGAACAGGTACTGTACATTAGATGACTATGGGATGGAGGGGATGGCCTTGCCACCAATGTAAGCCTTACAATTCTCCCTTTATTTAGGTACAAGGGACTCGATCCGGATCGTGACCCCCTTCATCTTGCTTTCTTGCAAACAAAAGAGGAGATCAAAACCTGTAGACGCCCCCTTCTTCTCCTTCTCCTTTCGACTACAAATCCCAGAACTCTTTGGGAGTTGTAGTTCCCCCCCCCCCAAAAAAAGGGAAAGAAAAATGATAGCACAAGTTTTAAAAAGATGGGAGGGGTTGCTTCTCGTGTAAACGCCACCCACCGCTTGCCTTCTTCCGAGTCACGCTCCTGGTCTCCAGCCGCCTTCTGGGAGGGCTGGATTCAGATCGCTTCCCTCCTGATCTCTTTGCTAATCCAATTTCCACCTTCTGAGCTGGACCCCAGTCAATGGGCGTGGAAAAGGGCAGGGTTAGGCGGCTATAGCGAACGTGCAGATGTTTCTGTAGTGTAGTGGTTATCACGTTCGCCTCACACGCGAAAGGTCCCCGGTTCGAAACCGGGCAGAAACATCACGGTTATTATGCTTGGGTGTGCTTTTTTCCCCCCTCTGCTCAACTGCCTTTGATAGCAGTGGTTATCACGTTCGCCTCACACGCGAAAGGTCCCCGGTTCGAAACCGGGCAGAAACATCACGGTTATTATGCTTGGGTGTGCTTTCCCCCTCCCCTGCTCAACTGCCTTTGATACTGTAGTCAGATCCCAGAATGCATCTTAAATTTTGATGAGAGGCGGCACTAAATCTATTTGCTGCATGAATATTAAATAGAAATGGGGTTCTGTTGAATCATGAGAACAAAACAAAATCTATGGTGGGCAATCAAGTGAATAAAATCTGATAATATCTGAAAAGATATTTTTCCTCTGGCTACCGAGATCACTCTGTTTAGATCAGTAACATAATCACAGGTCTCTCTCAAAGGCCAGCCGTTCTTGGCTAAGGGGATTTGAACCTGTGAAGGATACAGGATGAGCTCATGCAAGCAAATACACCTGTATCAAGCAGATCCTAGGAGGCACAGAGAGATATGGACCAGGTATTCTGGGCAGGAAGGTGCAAAAAGGATGCCCACAGGAACAACAGTGGCCAGTGTATCAAGCAGATCCTAGGAGGCACAGAGGGATGCCCACAGGAACAGCAGTGGCCAGGATCCGACCAGAGTTTGCATTTCTTTTTTGACACCTTCTCCGGGATTTCCTTAGAAAAATTAATAGGGTGTTTTTCTCTCACCCCTGTAGCTTCAGCGGCTATCTTTGCGGCTGGATGGCCACCAGTGGGCGTGGAAATGGGGAGCCTCACTAGAAGCCACCAGCAGGCAGATGTTTCTGTAGTGTAGTGGTTATCACGTTCGCCTCACACGCGAAAGGTCCCCGGTTCGAAACCGGGCAGAAACATACCTTTGAGGCTGTTTTTTTAAACTTGACTGCCTGTAGCATCCAGACTCCTAAATGGATTTCCTGGAAGGCCATTTGTCATTACGTGTCATCAAGTCCCTATGGTTGACCTTGTGAATAAGCCATCTCTGAAAGGTCCTCTTCTCAACTGCGGTCCCCGGTTCGAAACCGGGCAGAAACAGACCTTTGAGGGTTTTTTTGTAAACTTGACTGCCTGTAGCAGCCAGACTGCTAAATGGATTTCCTTGAAGGCAATTTGTCATTATGTGTCATCAGGTCCCTATGGTTGACCTTATGAATAAGCCATCTCTGTCTTGCTCGTGAAGTCAAACTGTGGTTTCTTTTGGAGAGTGAGTCCATCTCATAATTGGTCATCCTCTTTTCCTGCTGCCTTCAACTTTTCCCAGC